ATAGACTCCGGTATTATTTTCAAAGAATTCTAAACTAATATCATTACCATTCCATAAGTATATTTCAGCAAAGATTGTTCACTTTATTTTAGATCATTTTCAACAGTGAATAAATTCTAATCTACTTTCCACTTTAATATATAATTATTTCAATTTCAACATTATTACACGAGTGATATTATTGTTTCTATATTTTCTGTGAATCTTATTTCGTCTTTATTTAAATTTAAATAAATGTTGATATCTCGAATTAAGCTATACTTCTTATTAATAATTTTGATGTTGATTAAAATGAGAATGGTAACAGGTATCGGAATAAACTCGACGAATTCTGATTCAGCATTGAAAACTGAAATTGATTATGAACGTTGGCCTGTCTGAAGTCGCTCTTGACTTTTTCTTTGATTCATGGAATTAATTTTTGAAGAAGTTCGGCTATTGTAACTTGATGAAATGTTGGTTCCGACTGTTTTTGTAATGGATTACTGCATGATATTGATTTTGTTGAGCGGCTATGAATTTATGATTGTAAGGTGAGAATAGAATGTAAATTTCGAATATAATAGTTCAAATGCGCGTTTTGTTTGACTGTGAGTTTTAAATCATTTTCGTTAGCGACTACGCTGTAATTTTTAACAGCGAGGTATGGTACATTCAGTTTCTGTGTCGAAGGTTGGAATATAGAGAGAATAGGGAAAAAGATAGATGATTCTGGCGAATGAATTGATTGATAGTAAGGTATATCATAAACTTTGTCTAGGCTGCGAAACAGAATTAAAATAAACGAGCAGACGTAATGTTTGGTGTTGCTGAAAACTTTTGTCACAATTCTTCGTTGATTGGTTGTAGTTTTAATGATTGTAGACTTCGATTTATGCGTATGCTTTACCTCTAGAAGATGAATTTCAATTACAGTTTAGAATGTTTGAACATTCGTTTCAATTAGTTGTTTGGTAAAATTCTTGGTCGAGAGAATGAATTCTGTATTTTGTGTATGTTTTAACGAAGACATGTCTATGATCAAGGATTGATGCTATGGCGTTGAGCCTATTTAACTGATTTTGATAAAACTGCTATCATTGAATGAACGCTTAAACGTTTTAGTGATAAATTTGGTTCTCACCTGATTTATTCAATTGTATTTTATTTAGTAAAGTACTCTGTGTTATCTGAATAGTTTATTTGGTATACGAATATAATATCTCTAAAGAGGTATTCGTAATGTTTTGAACCAATCATATATGAAAATTTCGAGTAGCAACAGTATTAGTGAGACGCGAACGGATAAAGTGAGCTTTTAACATTGGTAATTATTTTAATATCAATGAAAAAGATAGGGACAATAGAATGTAAGAAAATAACTTCTTAAGACACTTAGTGTTTTGTATTTTACAAATGGTTGAAAAATATCGTGGAATTCTTTGAGTCTATATTGAAGAATCATTGTTACACCCTACACCATTTTTGTTTTTATCGATAATTGGATAGGGTATTAATATTAAGTTCATTTTCAACAATACTTGCGATTTGGTCTGTCAGCTGTACAGTTCCATTTGATTTTCCTGGAGCAAGCCAGTCTGGATACTTATTTAAAACTTTAGATATTTCAATAAATCGTTTGTTGTTGTAAAATTGTCCACCATTCATTTTTACCATCTGTGATATCTTTTCTAATAAATTCGTTACTTTTTCTGCATTTGCATCAAAAGATTTTGTGTTATCGATTGCTATATATCTATTTTTACATTTTTCTATAAACTCTGTTACGAATTTCGGTACATCCTCAAGAAATTCTTCGATCGTTTTGTTTTTTTGGATTTTGTCTAATCCTGTGAACACAATAATACAATAATCAAGCGCCCGTTCATCAAAAACTTCACATATCCATTTTACAGTAGCCTTCTCTGAAACTGTGAAACGGTCCACGGAAAAAACAACAAGGAAAACATGTGGACCTGGCGCTGCCACTTGATAGGAGCTGCTAATTTCGGGTATCAGTTCTGCAGGTTCTAGTTCGGTGTCCAAAAATCCTGGTGCATCAACAACTAACAATCTTGTGTTATTCAAAATTCGATCGGCGACTTTACATTTAGTAGTAATAGATTTCCCAGATTGACGTGCTAGAAACTCATCTCTTCCTAGTATTGTGTTTCCGAATGCACTTTTACCTATGAATAGTGAACAACAGAATGATTGTTTAACAATAACATGAAATCGATTATATAGCTACCTGTTCCTGTTTTCCCAAGTAGAATTAGACGAAATTCTGGCACCACGAATAAGGAAATGTATACCCTGCCACTTTTCTGTTCAACATCATCAATTCTGAGGGCGATGCCAGGAGGCAACAATACTTCATTTTCATCAGGATATTCAGAATATGATGATACTGTTAATCCACCAACAGCACTTACGTCGATAATCAAGAGAGAGTTTCCGAAAACCTCCGCCACTTCTCGATCTTTACTTGTAGAAGTAAATGCGTACTCGTATTTAAAGGTACCTATCGCATTTTTATAATATTGAATTGTTTGTTCATCTAATGTTACTCCACGATAAACTGTCCCGTAAAAATGCTCATCAGCAAGTGTATCATTCCAAATAGCTTCTGATAAAAGGTAGCAAAACGGTGCCATTGTATCAATTTTACTTTTGATATTGTCATTTAGCACAAAATTCAGCAATTTATATAAGAAAGTATTCATTGTATAGACATAAATACAACATTTCAGGATCTCCTTGTCGTTCTTATCTGCTACTTGTCGTAAATAATTGGCGATGCAGTCTGCATCATTATCTTCACCTAATTCACGGCCTTCTGTCAGTATTCCAGTTGCGGCTACTGTAATAGTTTCACTATAAGAAAGCGTTGAATTTCGTTTTCTCCAATCATAAATAAACGAGATCCCTCCGTCTAGACCCGATTTATAAAATATTTTGAATACAGATGATCGCTTTTGAACTTCTCGTCGGTTAGAACCAGAGTGTGGTGACGCTTGTTGATTTTTTATTGATATAGGTTGATTTCTTCGAGGCATTGATCGATTTTTTTTTAATAAAAATTGACCTATATGTGGATCGATAAAATTTGTTTTATCTGAACGCACTAGACAAGTGTATATTCTCTTTATGCTATATATCTAGCCGATATTTACAAATAGTCTCGGTTCGATTTTAACAGATGTTGCACCATGTTTAGTATCTGAAATAAATAAAAAGTGTCATGCAGAATGTAATAGAATTTCGATATGGCACGAGTGGATAATTTGCGTAAAAATTGCCAATCATACAAAAAAGTGAAGTAACGTTAATGCTTTGGTTCAGTCTCGAATGATGCTTACCTATCACTTTTTTATGGATTCTTTGGCCTCACACGTTTTATCGTTTATTATGATTACATTGCCGAACACTTTTCCATGAATAAGAAGAAAGCAAAAATTTGGCTGACACACTAGACTACTTCACAAAATGCATTGTAAAATGCAGTACTTGTTCCTGTTTAGGAAGAAGATCAGTACCTATACACTACGGAAAGTGTCTTGGATTTTTGTAGAGTTTTGATGCAAACGAGTAACTGTTATCTGATCTCACATGAGATAAAAACACATTTTTCATAAACGATAAATAAAGATGGGCACACACCTGAAGTTGTACATTTCTATCAAGTCCGAGTCTATTGCAAATAGGTTCCGTATATATTAAAGATTTTCCGATAATTTTGATCTTGAAGTGAACGGGAATACATAGAAGTGACTCCAATTTGTAATAAATGATGTTACTCTCATGTTTCTCTTTCTGTTTCCTGATAAATTGCTAGCGATTTGCTGCACTCCTGTCTATCATTGCTCTTCAATCAATATTTCAATTGTGATCAAAAAATCGTTTAAAGTCGAATTCACTTGTATAGTAACAACTTCCTACTAAAAGAAATTCAACCAAAACAAAAATATAATTTGCAGCGTAACCAGACATCACTACGCCATCGTTCGTTCTTGTAGGCAATTTTTTCGCATATGTCGCCTCATATGCATTATTGAAGCACACACATTCTATGTGTTTTAACGACAAACAAGCACATGGTGAATTGCGAAACAACTTTTTTTACTTCTTGAAGGGGTGGTGTAATAGCTACCAAGACGCGTTTCGTCCCTGCTAAAGGACTCATCAGTTGGCTTAATCTATATTAGTTTCAAATAATAAAATTCAAAACTAAAATAGAAAAATAGAATTCAATGTTATAAATATAATTTTAAATAAATCAATATATAAAAAACTAAATTTATAATCAAATTCAAATTTTTTTGGCAGTAGTGTGTAATAGCTACCAAGACGCGTTTCGTCCCTGCTAAAGGACTCATCAGTTGGCTTAATCTATATTAGTTTCAAATAATAAAATTCAAAACTAAAATAGAAAAATAGAATTCAATGTTATA